TCTTGAACTGCCAAACTGTTGTATGAGAGGGAAAGATTATATCAGAGAGAGATAGGTAGGGACCAAATCATGCAACCTCTCTGTGCCTCTGTTTCCTCACCTGTAACGTATAAAACGGTCTAATGTCAACTTCATAGGGTTGCTGTAAAAGATTAAATGAAATAATGTGTCAGGTGCTTAGGGAAATATCTGGCATGTGATATACGCTAAGTGTATGGCCATAGGTGGTGAGTGTGGATTTTATTACAAGCACAGTGGGAAAGTTTTGGACAGTTCACAGCAGAGGAGTATAATCTAATGTATGCTAGTGCTGGTAGTCTGAGCTTGAGGTAAGGGTTTCCTCCCTTTTTCCAGACATGAGAGTGTAAAGGGCTTTTTTTTAATGAAATTACCAATCCTCCCCCGACCCCCACTAAATGTTCAAAAAATCACATTATTTCCATTAATCCTTTTTTGAGTATTTAAATATATACAGGGAATTTAAATATACACAGAATATATATGAATAAGTAAAATCTTTTTTTTTTTTTTTTTTACTTTTTTTAATGTTTATTTTTGAGAAAGAGAGACAGGGCATGAGCTGGTGAGGGGCAGAGAGAGAGGGAGACACAGAATCTGTAGCAGGCTCCAGGCTCTGAGTTGTCAGCACAGAGCCCAATGTGGGGCTCGAACTCATGGACTACAAGATCATGACTTGAGCTGAAGTTGGATGCCTAACCACCTGAGCCACCCAGGCGCCCCCATGAATAAGATTTTTTAAGATTCTGATTTATCCCCCTCCTGAAATATAGCCAAATATTTGTGCATAGTTTGTGCATAAGTTTCTTTGGATTACATTTAGGGGTATATGTGAGATGACACTGAGCTGCTGTGCCTCTTGAACTTTGTGTAAATAGAAATGTGGCCTTGTATTTTTAGAGCATGCCTTCCCAAAGGTCTGTTTGTGGAAGAGGAAAATGATAGAAGATTAAAATGATGGCTTTAAAAAAAAACAGATATGCTTCAGAAATAGATTTTTGCTCACGTTAGTAAATAAGGCATTAGGTAGAAAAAAAGCTCCAGATACAAAGGAGTTACCATTTCTACAGAAATCTACTCCTTACAGAAGAAACTGGCCTCATATTTGCATTTTGCTCATAGTATCCTGAAAATGCAAACCATCAGCTTAAAATATAGCTCCCCTGTCCATTCTCTGGCAGCAGCTCTGGCATGAGCATCAGGAGACTTGGCATGTTTGCCTGTGACAGTAAGGACATCTCGGGCTGTAGGGTGAGCTGAGGTCATCGTTGCAGCATGAGGCTGTGGCCCACACAGGACTCAGCTGTTGACAGGGAAAAACATGAATATACAATTGTTTCTCTACAGGCAGATAATAAATCCCCTGGTCAATATAATCTCACAAAACAGCTGCTTTATTTGTCTCCATTGCCACCAAAAAAGCATCTTAATGGAGTTTCTGCATTAAGTGTTAGCATTACAGGAGATTTGAAATAAAAGGTTTCCCAAAAGATATGCATCTTCTTTTTTTTGGTAAAGAATGACCTAGAAAGGAGAGCAGTTTTCTGGAACTCAGCTGCTGCTGGTGGGGGTAGGAGATATTAGGACATAAGAGGCAGAGCCGCCGAGTAGGTGCCTTGTCCAGGGTTTGTGCAAAGAAGCTGGTGTTCCATTTAGCACCTGATGGATTTATTCATTTAACAAATCTTCATGATGCCCCTCTTCTTGGGCCACATACTGTCTAGGGGCTGGGATGCAGCACTGACCAAGGCAGGAGGGAGTCTTGCCTCCTTGAGCTCTATCTTCCAGGGAAAACAGACAATGAAGGAGTAGGTGGGTTGAGCCACCCCATGCTCAGGCACCCAAATGGCAGGCTGCTAACTGGGCAGAGCCCCATCTTGGGAGGAGGAGCTGGGAGTCTGGGAGTGCACGCCTCAAGAAGAGGAGACCTTGAAACAAGACCCTTAGCATGAATGAGAGGAGGGCAGATGTGGGAAAGTATTCTAGGCTGAAGGAATAGTTTGTGAAGGGCCTCTGTGTTTTTGTTTTTATTTTTATTTCTCCCCCTTATCATCTTCCTCATCCAGAAAACTCAAGGATGCTCAGGATGGAGAGTGATATGTACAGCATTATCCCATTTTCATTTTTAAGACACACAAAACACAACTGTGTATTTTGCATGGATACATATGCCTTTAAATGAAAGTATTTTGGTTTATTTTTAAAACTGTATTGATTTACTTTGATAGTGAGCATAAGTGGGGGAGGGGCAAAGAGGGAGAGGGAGAGATCGATAATCCCAAGCAGGTTCCCTGCTGTTAGCACAGAGCCCAACATGGGCTCTATTTCATGAACCATGAAATCATGACCTGAACCAAAGTCAAGAGTCAGGCACTTAACCAACTGAGCTGTCCAGGCGCCCCTATATTAAAGTATTTGAGGTTTCTTTTTTTTTTTTTTTTAACATTTATTTTATTTTTGAGAGAGGGAGAGAGAGAACATGAGCAGGGGAGAGGCAGAGAGTGGGGGGGACAGAGGATCCCAAGTAGGCTCTTGGCTGACGAGAACCACGAGATCATGACCTGTGCCCAAGTCGGCCGCTCAACCGACTCAGCCACCCAGGTGCCCCTAAAACTAATTTGAATGTCACAGAAGGAAACCCAATAAATTTGTGTTAATGGTTGTTTCTGAGAAAGAAGGGGGAGATAAGGCCTGGGATGGGGATGACAAACCTCATTTTATCTGAAAAAAATGTTTTTTCTTAATGTTTATTTAATTTTGAGAGAGAGTGACAGAGCAGGAGTCAGGGAAGAGCAAAGACAGAGGAAGACACAGAATCCAAAGTAGGCTCTGGGCTCTGAGCTGTCAGCACAGAGCCCAGTGTGGGGCTGGAACCCACTAACCTCAAGATCATGATCTGAGCCGAAGTCGGCTGCTTAACCAACTGAGTCACCCAGGTGTCCCTTATCTCAAAAATTTTAAGAAGACTTTAAAATATGTTTACCTGGGGTGCCTGGGTGGCTGAGATGGTTATGTGTCCAGTTCTTAATTTCTGCTCAGTGATCAATAGATTGCTTATATTTAAGGTTACAGATGTGGCATCATATTTTTTGTAATTTTCTGATGATAGGCTAAATAGAGATTGCATGCAAAAAAGATATATACAACAACAACATCAACAGGAACCCACAGAAATTCTACAAGAGATATCTCAGTGAGAATGTTTCAAAATTAAATAGCATTTTCTGTTATCAGCTTCATAGACTATGGCTTTGGAGTTTCTAATACTCATCCTTTTAAGATAAGCTCCTAGCAACTAGAATAGAGCCATAACAAAGCCAAAATATTCTCTTGAGACTAGTGCACTACAGTTTTTAACCATGGGGTGTGTATGTGTTTGATACAAAAAGCAAATAGCCCTGAAACACTTCATCTTATCACAGAAAAAATGAATTTATGGCACTGAACGCACCAAAGTGGGAAGCCATATTTATGTTGAAGCATCTATTGACCTATGAGTATGAGATATTTATTTAAGATGAATATAAACCATTGGTAGTGGTGGGTTTGTTTTGTCTCTTAAATCACTGACTTTTGTCATCTGTAAGATTTTACAGAATGAAATTCTTATACCATTCAGTAGGGGGTCTCATCCACTTGAAAAGGTAAAACAAATCTGATTGAGACTTTATGATCAAATACTAGAATAAATAAGTTAAAAGGTGGTGTGAACTAGGGGCACCTGGGTGGCTCAGTTGGTTAAGCATCTGACTTTGGCTCAGGTTCTTATCTTGCAGCTTATGAGTTCAAGTCTCACATCAGGCTGTGTTGTCAGCACAGAGCCTAGAGCCTGCTTTGGATTCTGTGTCTCCCTGTCTCTCTACCCCTCTCCCGTTGATGCACTGTGTCTCTCTCAAAAATAAACATTAAAAATGGGGGAGAAAAAAAGATGGTGTGAACTAGAAAGGAAATGGGGTGTTTATTAGAATCCTGCCAAATGTGGGGTGCCTGGGTGGCTCTGTTAAGCATTTGAGTCTTGATTTTGGCTCAGGTCATGATCTCACACTTTGTGAGACTGAGCTCCACGTTGAGCCCAGCACTGACAATACAGAGCCTACTTGGGAATTCTCTCTCTCCTCCTCTCTCTGTTCCTCCGCTGCTCGTTTGTGCACAAGCATGCTCTCTTTCTTGCTAAACATAAATAAATAAATAAACTTAAAATCCTTCCAAATGCTTTTATGCCTTTTTTTTCTACCTATTCAGGGAATAAGAAGGGAAGCATCATGAGAATTATATGGAAGAAATTATGGTGAAGAAAGTCTTATGAAAAAGTGAAAACTCATATTTTTCATTAGTGCATTGTGTTTCAAGGTTGCCTAGTCTATAAAGTTTTCATGTGGAAAACAAAACTCAGTGACTCGAAAAGAGATGATTCATAAATTACTCAGCGTAATCAGTGTAAATAGTTGATCTGGATTTTTCAGGACCCAAACCAAATGATCTATAAATTAACTATACGATTGCCAAATAATCCCTTCAGTTGGAACTTCATAGAAAATTTTACATATTGAGATTATCCTGTTGTATTATTTGTGAAAAATGATATTTCATGTGTTTCTTTGTCAAGCAGTATCTCTGGGTGCCATGGTGTTTTACAGTATGCAGATGTGTGCTAAGGTCCAACCAAGACTGATATTTTTGTAAGCAATGACTTATCAATTAATAAGACTGACCCAATATTTTGCAACTTTGTTAGGATAAAACTCCCTAGGCATAAGATTGTGTGTATGCTAATGAATTGTGGGGTTTGTCAAAAGAGAATACTTATATTTTATTAAGAGTTCATTATGGTAGAAAACCTTTGCTGAGTTCACATTTGAAGGAAGAAAAGCATCATCTTAAGTATTCTACTTTTATCTGCTCACTTTAGTAATTGGCTAGACATGAAAGGCATCAGATTCTGTTTCATGACATGGTTTTCCAATTGGTCCTTTTCTCTACAGGTTCCTGAGGGAAAAGTAGTAGTTCTTAATTTCCGATTCATAGATCTTGAGAGTGACAACCTGTGCCGCTATGACTTTGTGGATGTGTACAATGGTCACGCCAATGGCCAGCGTATTGGGCGCTTCTGTGGCACGTTCCGGCCTGGAGCCCTTGTGTCCAGTGGTAACAAGATGATGGTGCAGATGATTTCCGATGCCAACACAGCTGGGAATGGCTTCATGGCCATGTTCTCTGCTGCTGAACCAAATGAAAGAGGTATCGTTTCCACATTATGCTATTAATACCAATAATGTATTGTTGGTATTATTATGCTAATAATACCAGTAATGAAATAATACCAATAATGATGGCTCACAGTTACTGGATGGATGTTTACTGTGTGTGTTAGCCTGTGTTCTAGGCAGCTAAAATGTGTTCACTCCTTTAATCTAAAATTTAAGAGCAGTTCTTCTCAAAAATAGCTGCTAAATGCCACCAAACCACCAGGAAACCATTCAAAAAAGTTTCTCTCTCTCTCTTTTTTTAAAAGCCCATGTGATTCTTATCAAAATTCAAATACAGAAACTTAGGAAGTAAAAATGTGAAGCTTACATACATATATACACATACAGATATAGAAACATACCCCTTCACTCCTTTATAGTCACCTCTTAGAGCCATGGTGGTGGTCCCATACCTTTCTATGTGCACTCATACATATATACTTCTGCAATAGCTTTTTGTTTTTATTTTTAAAAATTTGTATATGTATGTATATATACAAATACAAAATATATATATATATATATTTTGAGAGAACGAAGAGGGAAGCGGCAGAGAGAGAGAGACTCACACAGAATTTGAAGCAGCTCCAGACTCTGAGCTGTCAGCACAAGAGTCCGACATGGGGCTTGAACTCATGAACCCTGAGATCATGACCTGAGCCAAAGTTGGGCAATTAACCATTGAGCCACCCTGCAATCGCTTTTTAGAAATGTAAGTGGGGTCATACATTCATAGTGTTTCACAGCCTTTTTTTTTTTTTTCACTGAAAACTATGTGTTGGGGTATTTTCATGTCAGTATATATGAACACCCAAGGGTAGAAACCTATACCCTTTTTTTTTCTTAAATAGTTTATTGTCAAGTTGGTTTCCATATAACACCTATTGCTCATCCCAACAAGTGCCCTCCTCCATGCCCATCACCCCCCTTCCCCTCTCCCCTACCCACATCAGCCCTCAGTTTGTTCTCAGCCTTTTTTTTTTTTTCACTGAAAACTATGTGTTGGGGTATTTTCATGTCAGTATATATGAACACCCAAGGGTAGAAACCTATACCCTTTTTTTTTTTTAAATATTTTATTGTCAAGTTGGTTTCCATATAACACCTATTGCTCATCCCAACAAGTGCCCTCCTCCATGCCCATCACCCCCCTTCCCCTCTCCCCTACCCACATCAGCCCTCAGTTTGTTCTCAGCATTCAACAGTCTCTAATGATTTGCCTCCCTCCCTTACCCAACTGTTTTTCCCCTTCTTCTCCCCAATGGTCCTCCTTTAAGTTCCTCCTAATCCACCTATATGTGCCAAGGTATGGTATCTGTCCTTCTCTGCCTGACTTATTTCGCTCAGTGTAACACCCTCAGGTTCCATCCATGTTGCTACACATGGCCAGATTTCATTCTTATTGCCATGTAGTATTCCATTGTATAGATAAACCACATCTACTTGATCCATTTGTCCGTTGATGGACACTTAGGCTCTTTCCATGTTTTGGCTATTGTTGAGAGTGCTGCTATGAACATTGGGGGACATGTGCTCCAGTGCATCAGCACTCCTGTATCCCTTGGGTAAATTTCTAGCAGTGCTATTGCTGGGTCATAGGGGAGTTCTATTGTTAATTTTTTGAGGAACCTCCACACTGTTCTCCAGAGGGGCTGCACCAGTTTACATTCCCACCAACAGTGTAGGAGGGTGTCTGTTTCTCTGCATCCTCGCCAGCATCTAGGGTCTCCTCCTGATTTGTTCATTTTAGCCACTCTGACTGGCGTGAGGTGGTATTTCAGTGTGATTTTGATTTGTATTTCCCTGATGCTGAGGGACGCTGAGCATTGTTTCATATGTCTGTTGGCCATCTGGATGTCCTCTTTGGAGAAGTGTCTGTTCATGTCTTCTGCCCATTTCTTCACTGGATTATTTGTTTTTCGGGTGTGGAGTTTGGTGAGTACCTTATAGATTTTGGATACTAGCCCCTTTATCTGATATGTCATTTGCAACTATCTTTTCCCATACTATTAGTTGCCTATTAGTTTTATAGTTTCCTTTGCCATGCAGAAGCTTTTTATCTTGATGAGGTCCCAATAGTTCATTTTTGCTCTTGATTCCCATGCCTTTGGGGATGTGTCAAGTAAGAAATTGCTGCAGTGGAGGTTAAGGAGGTTGTTTCCTGCTTTCTCCTCTAGGGTTTTAATGGTTTCCTGTCTCACGTTCAGGTCCTTTATCCATTTTGAGTTTATTTTTGTGTATGGTGTGAGAAAATGATCTAGTTTCATTCTTCTGCATGTTTCTGTCCAGTTCTCCCAGCATGAAGCTGTTCTTTTCCATTGGTTACTCTTTCCCGCTTTGTCAAAGACTAGTTGGACATACATTTGTGGATCCCATTCTGAGTTCTCTATTCTATTCTTTTGGTCTATGTGTCTGATTTTGTGCCAATACCATACTATCTTGATGATTACAGCTTTGTAGTAGAGGCTAAAGTCTGGGATGGTGATGCCTCCCATTTTGGGTATTTTCTTCAATAATACTTTGGCTATTTGGAGTCTGTTGTGGTTCCATACAAATTTTAGGATAGTTCTAGTTTTGAGAAGTATGCTGGTGCAATTTTGATTGTGATTGCATTGAATGTGTAGATTGCTTTGGGTAGTAATGATATTTTAACTATATTCTTTCAATTCATGAGCATGGAATGTTTTTCCATTTGTTTGTGTTTCTTCAATTTCCTTCATAAGCTTTCTATAGTTTTCATCATACAGATCTCCTTTAACTTTGGTTAGTGTCGGAGGCCGCGCCGGCTCCGACAGGTCCAGGGGTCCCTGAAGGATGGACGGTGTCGGCGAAAGAGAATGAGAGAGCCCCGAGATTTTTTTCTGATCACCAGGCAGGCATCTCTGTCCTGTCGGTTTTGGTGTCTTTATTTAATGGTTCAACAACCATATGAGGTCAGAGAAAAGGAATTTCTTACAATGAGAGGTCTTTTGTGATATCAATTGCAGAATTATCCCAGTCATGGTGAATTTACAACCAAGGAAATAACAGGATGCTCTTAGTGAAAGACAGGATAACATATAGGTTACATTGTATATAGATAAGTTAGGAGTCATTCTGTCTGGCTCTCAAGAGGATGAATGATTCTGAATTGGTTAGTTAGTGGAAACTACCAAGGGGGCTCTATATGTATCAGTCTTTGCATCTGGGTTTATGTTTTAATTACTCTTATCTATCCTCATCCCAGCTGCCAGTGTAAGGGAGGATGTCTGTGGAATGTAGGCCCTGAGGAAGGGACTGCCATACATCACCAATTAGTAAGTTATGTTCGGTACTTATCTGTACCTTAACTATAAATTAGGCTCTTCTGATATGGGACCAGGCTCAATAGTAACTCTTGTGTTCTTAACCCCCTTTATTATCTAAGTCTTGGATCTGCAAGGCCCATAGGAAGAACCTTTTAACAATGATCCACAGAGCTCTTATCTAAACTCTCTTTTGTAAAGGCAGGAATATGCTTTTCCTATGAGGTAACTGTGTTCAGAATATGGGTTTCATATGGAATATTGTGAGGCCTGGTCAATACCAGCAGGCTCATTTCCAACATGAGCCAGTGGTAACAGAAGGAGATACTAGTCTTCGTTTCTCATGGCAGAAGCTGTGTAAACATTGCCATTTCCTTGCTGTGACTGCCATCCAGAGAGGCCGGTGCGGCTCCTGGCAGGTTAGGTTTATTCCTAGGTATTTTTTGTTTTTTTGTGCTATTGTGAATGGGATCAGTTTCTTGATTTCATTATTGGTGTATAAAAATGCAGCTGATTTCTGTACTTTGATTTTGTACCCTGCAACTTTGGTGAATTCATGGATCAGTTCTAGCAGACATTTGGTGGAATCTGTCGGGTTTTCTATATAGAGTATCATATCGTCTGCGAAAAGTGAAAGTTTGACTTCTTTGACAATTTTGATGCCTCTTATTTCCTTTTATTTTCTGATTGCTGATGGTAGGACTTTCAGCACTATGTTAAACAACGGTGGTGAGAGTGGACATCCCTGCCGTGTTCCTGACGTCAGGAGGAAAGCTCTCAGTTTTTCCCCGTTGAGGATGATGTTAGCTGAGGGCTTCTCATAGATGGCTTTTATGATGTTTGAGTAAGTTTCTTCTATCCTGACTTTCTCGAGGGTCTTTATTAAGAAAGGATGCTGTATTTTGTCAAATGGTTTTTCTACCTCTATCGACAGGATCATACGGTTTTTATCTTTTCTTTTGTTAATGTATTGTATCACATTGATTTGCGAATATTGAACCAGCCCTGTAACCCAGGAATGAATCCCACTTGATCATGGTGGATAATTCTTTTTATATGCTGTTGGATTCGATTTGCAAGTATCTTGTTGAGGATTTTTGCATCTGTATTCATCAAGGATATTGGCCTATAGTTCTCTTTTTTTGTTGGGTCTCTGTCTGGCTTGGGTATCAAAGTGATGCTGGCTTCATAGAATGAGTCAAGAAGTTCTCCTTAGATTTCTATTTTTTGGAATAGTTTGAGAAGAATGGGTATTAACTCTGTTTTAAATGTCTGGTAGAGTTCCCCAGGGAAGCCATCTGGCCCAGGGCTGTTATTCGTTGGGAGATTTTTGATAACTGATTCGATTTTTTCACTAGTTATGGGTCTGTTCAGATTTTCTATCTCTTCCCTTGTGAATTTTGGTAGTGAGTGTATGTTTAGGAATTTGTCCATTTCTTCTAAGTTGTCCAGTTTGTTGGCATATAATTTTTCATAGTATTCCCTGATAATTGCCTGTATTTCTGAGGATTGGTTGTAATAAGTCCATTTTCATTCATGATTTTGTCTATTGGGGTGTTCTCTCTTTTCTTTTTGAGAAGCCTGGCTAGAGGTTTGTCAATTTTGTTTATTTTTTCAAAAATCCAACTCTTGGTTTCATTGACCTATTCAACTGTTTTTTTTTTATTCTATATTGTTTATTTCTGCTTTGATTTTTATTATTTCTCTT